TCTTCCGAAGGTGCGATGATCCCGGGAGAAAGGGACCTCGAGAGGAATTCTCGCCGAACAATACGAAGAAAGTTGTACAAGAAGAAAGGAGATAGGTGGACCAGGGAAGAGAGAACGGCGACTCGAGAAGGCGGAATCCGCGGTCCAGAAAGGCAAGCACCGCGAAATCGTTTTCTTGGCTCGCGAGACGAAATTAACTGAATTGGCTGCGCACGAGTGAACACTCGTGACGTGCGAGCCAGAAATGAAAGCGGGTAGAGGGGTGGATGCAACGGGAAACGAACTCGAGTGGTGACGTTTTGAAGCCGCGTGGAACGAACGGACCAACGTTGCCACGTCAATTCTTCTTCTTCCTTGTGACTGATACATGCAAATCCCACGGTTATTCTTCTCTGGGCTGATGCATGTGCACGGACGACTTTAGACAAAGCTTGTCTAACCCGCTATGAATGCGGCCCAACAGAAAATCATAAAGTTTAAGGGTACCCTCCGGTCAAAACCCTCGAAAAGTTCGTGATTTTCATGAATTTATAAACAAACAATGGAACAACATATGGTAAAAAACTGGTTTGATCCTTGTTGGTACATATTTGAAGAAGACAGAAACAATTTTATTGTTTAAATTTTAACAATGTTTCCATAAACTATATAACACTGAATGTACTACTGTACAAATTGGAGGTTTTGACGGGCGCCTTCAGAACTCATGATAGGATCGTCTTAAGTCAAAAAAACAAGAATATTCTTAAAATACATGTCAATGGCTATCGCCTTACCAATCGTCAATCCAAAAAAATAATCCAGCGATCTTTGACACGTGTTTAAACACAATGTTTAATAAACGGTATGCTACAGTGCTGGGAGCGGCAAGAATCATTCGCCCTTAGACTGTTTTGACGAATGAAAACGATTAAATCCAAATTCATCAACCTTCCCCTATTCCGGAATAACTATAAAAATAATAATTTAAAGTCTTACCTGCCTGCAATAGATTCGAAAACATCATTCCAAGCCAAGAGAAGATCAACGTTCGAAAAGCCGCGCGGCGGGGATAATTTATTTGAATATGAAATTTCCTACCCACAAAAGCATGGTTCCGCGATGTTTTATGTAAAATTCATAAGCCCGCCGTGGTTGTAGGCGGCTGCTCGCGAAATTTTCTAAATTTCATTCAAGAGCCGACGCGAGTGTTTCGGGCTCGATACCGATCGAATTTGCATTTTCATCGTGTCAACGCGCGCAACGCGGCTAGATAGGTGGATGACACGTTTCTCCGTGGTCGGATCTCCGCTCGTGCGCCGCGAAACCGCTTAAAAAAGCAACGTCAACCGCGATTATGCAAAAGCTCCGTACCGAACATCGAGGAATCACGGGGAAATACTTTCATCCCGGAAAGAGCATCCTTTCCATCCCCCCCCTCCCTGAATTCCTTCTTCCGCTACGTCGGCCCCGAAGTCGAACCATGCCGCGCAGACAGGAAGGAAAACAAGAATTATGACGGTCCCCAGGTTAAACGTACCTTTTTCAATCGTTTTCTTCGCGCAAGCAGCTCGAAAACTCTTCTTTAGTGTCTACTGAACGCAATTACCGACTCGATTTTATAGTTCAGTCGCTTAGGAATAATCTAATTAATGCGCGAAAGTTTTGCAATACCGGCAGAAATCGAGCGATACTCTTCGGGGAAGAGCAGTTGAACGAACCCCTTTTTATTTTCTGAAACTGATTAATTTCTGTGTGCTTACATTTCTGTATTTCTTTCTCTGGTTATTGGTTTTTCTGGGAAACTTTTAAGCGTTTAAATTGTTTTGTGGAATCACATTATCGCGACGGCGTGAAGTGAGTATGCAAGAGTTAGTATAGAATAATGATATGATTCATGCGTTGTGTAAGCCACGTGTATAGTTTCATTTAATCCTCTGAAATCTGAAAGACTAACGCTGTATGGCGGGAACAAAAATCCGTTCGCGTACCTGAAGGTATGTATAATACATATATTTTAACAGATCTCTCATTTATCTCATCATTCTAGGCAAAAAAAATTTGCCAAAAATAGCTTCCACCTTTAAGCTCCAAAGTTGGTTAACCCCTCAATGAGAGATGGGCAAACTTATTATCTAGATAAAGTGTTTCGAATAACGAATCAAAGATAAAAGAAGTACTTCAGCATTTTTAATCGTTTAAACGTGGAACTTCCAGTTTTTATAATAAAATAATCCTTCTCCTTCAATGAGTCGGCATTTGGTGAAAAATTATTTAATCTCATTAATTGCTTAACGCCCAGAATTATGTCCTTACACACTGTAGCCTTTCGCTATGTATTATTTGAAAAACATTAGAATAATAGTTTTCTACCATAAAATTTTGTAATAATACTAGTATCTACGTAACAACGTTTTATAGATGTCCTTAAAATAAATTACATTACCTTGAAGATCAAAGTAATGACATTTTTTCCGCTACTCGCGAATATTAAAAATATTTTATGATCAGGTTGGAATAAAAAAAAGTTTAGTGGTCCAAATTCAGCAACCTTCCATAGTTTCGTGAAATTGATTAACTTCTTTCCTCTTTTGCTTTTGTTTTAAATAAAGTGTTGAAGTTTGTTCTTTTCAGTTAAAGTTTCGAGACAGTTTCCGGACCTACAATCAGGGAAGGCAGCTTTCTATGCGTCGCCCACGTCCATCCCCGTGCTATTGCCTCCTCGAAAACTTCGCGAAACGTGGGACACGGAGCGTTAAGGAGCAGCCCAGTACTTCGGTACAAACCGAGGCAGATTAAATTTCCATTGCAAATTTCATTCGATACGGCTCTCTTCGGCGACGTGACGATTTACCTCATCCCTCTTGAGCTGCCTTTCGCTCATGCACTCGGCGACGGAACTCGTCTCGATATCTCTGACGCGGAAATGTAAATTCAGACTTCTTTGTCGATCTTTCTCGTGAATATTTGCGTAATAATTAACACATTGTATAATGTTAAGCTGATGAAGCAATGAATTCACTTTTGTGTAGTTTCTCGAAATTATTATATTAAAGGTA